ATCATGAGATATCAAAGAAAAAGTGTGAGCTATAGAAATTTTGATTGACAGAATAATGTGCCCCGCCTCCACCCGAAAAGATGCCCACACTCTTAATTTCTGGCCCCTGTGCCTGTGTCTCCTTATGTGGATTTTGCAGATACAATTAAGGTTACAGGCCTTGAGATGAGAGTATGCAGGGTGATGGGCTGGGTCCTGCCTCATTCTGGGAGCCCCTGACAATGGAGCTGTTCCCAGCCCGGGGCAGAGAGACGTGGCAGGAGAGAGATCTGAAGCCTATGGGCTCAGCCCCTGGTTGCTAGCTTTGAAGACGGAGCAAGGGGGCCACGTGCCAGGCCTTAGAGGCTGAGAATGACCCCTGGCTGACAGGCAGCAGGATCTCAGCCCTGTAGCAGTCTCTTCATTTCCTAGGGCTGCCTAACAAAGGCTTCAAATTGGGTGGCTTAACAGTACCAGACATTTATTCTCACCGTGTGGGAGACCAGAGATGGGAGGTTGATGCCCTGGTGGGGCCTTCCTCCTGGGAAGGCTCCGGGGAGGATCTTCCCTGGCCTCCTCCAGCCACAGACGTCCACCCCTGCCCATGGTTTCACACGGCCTTCTCCTCTTCTCTCCCTGGGTCTGCCTCAAAGGACTCCAGCCATTTCATTTAGGGCCCATCCAGATGCTCCCGTCTTGAGATCCTAACTTAATTACATCTGCAAAGACCCCCTTTTCCAGATGAGATCGTGTCCCGAGGTCCCAGGTGTTGGCACATGGATGTATCGTTCAGCCCACCATAAGCAGCACAGAAATGCGTGTGGTCCAGAACCTGACTGGGCGGGGAAGTGGGTTATGCCCCCCGAGCCTCCAGTGAACGCAGCTGGGCTGATGCTTGGATCTTGGCCTTGCGATATCCTGGTCACTGCCGAGCTGAGCCACCTTGATTTCTGATCTATGGAGCTGCAAGATAATGAATGAGCTGTTTTAAGCTGCTACATTTGGGGCAATTTTTTTGTGACAATGATAGAAAATAAATATAAGAGAAGAGAGTAGGAAGGCCTAACTCACGCTAATCAGAACTCAATAAGGAAACCACAGAGGGGATAAGAGAGAAGCAGTCTCTGAAGAGATGATGGTAGATACCTGTGGAAGCCATGACAGGCAAATATTGCCAGGATATAGCAGAATAAGTAATAAGGCACACCCAGATACAGAGTGAAATTACACAACACAAAACATAGAACCTCATGTAGAGAGAGAAGTTAGACGACTGTTAATTTCTCAGTAGCATTAGAGGTATTGGAAGAAGGTAGTTAAATTTTTTGCTTATTTTCATTTATTTGAAAAGCAGTGGGGGGAGGGGAATCCTCCATCCCCTGGTTCACTCCCCAAATGCTTGCAACAGCCAGGGCTGGGCCAGGAGTCTGGAACTGAGTCAGGTCTCCCAGGTGAGTGACAGGGCCCCGACTGGTTGAGCCATCACCAGACGCCTCCTGGGGTGTGGGCTAGCAGGCCACAGTGGTGGCCGCAGTGGTGTGGCCACAGTTTGAAGCAGGCGCTCTGAGACGGGTGTAGGCGACCCAAATGGCAACACATTGTTTCTGATGCTGAGGCAAAATAATCACAGAGCCAATGAGAAAATAAAAATATTTCAGACAAACAAGAACTGAAACTTCGCTAAAAACCTTCAGCAAAAGAATTTTTAGAAGGCAGGCTTCATAGAAGAGGGAAATAATACATAAGGAAGGTCTGAAATTTAAGAAAAAAATGAGTAACGTTTTGAATGAACATTGGACAAATCTAAACAATAATAGTAGAGTCCTAATTGTGGAGACCAAAATCATTGTAGAGGGGTCAGCATTGTAGCGTAGTGGGCTAAGCCTCCACCTATAGTGCCGGCATCCCATAGGGGCACCGGTTCAAGTCCCGGCTTCTCCACCTCCAGTCCAACTCTGTTATGGCCTGGGAAAGTAGAAGATGGCCCAAGTGCTTGGGCCCCTGCACCTACGTGGGAGACCTGGAAGAAGCTCCTGGCTCTGGCCTGGCCCAGCCCTCCCACTGATACTATTTGAGGAGTGACCCAGAGGATGGAAGACCTGTCTCTGTTACTTCCTCTTTCTCTCTCTCAACTCTGTTTCAAATAAGTAAAATAAAGCTTTAAAAAAATTGTAGAACAATTAGGTGCTAATAACAGCACCTAAGTTAGGTGAGAGGTTTCTGAAATTAAAGAGTTGGGAGTCTTTCAGGGTAAAATGATAGCTAATGAATCACTGCAGACTCAGACACATTAAATGTGATTGTTAACATTTCTAATACAAAGGAAAAAAAGAATGGGAGTAAATTTTATTATTTTTTAAAGATTTATTTATTTGAAAGTCAGAGTTACATAGAGAAGGAGAGGCAGAGAGAGAGAGGTATTCCATCTGCTGGTTCACTCCCCAATTGGCTGCAATGACCAGAGCTGTGCCAATCCAAAGCCAGGAGCCAGGAGCTTCTTCCAGGTCTCCCACGAGGGTTTAGGGACCCAAGGACTTGGGCCATCTTCTACTGTTTTCCCAGGCCATAACAGAGAGCTGGATCGGAAGTGGAGCAGCTGGGACTCGAACCGGTGCCCATATGGAATGCCAGCACTGTAGGTGGTGGCTTTACCCGCTATGCCACAGCGCCGACCCTGGGAGTAAATTTTAGATGTTGTAAAAAATCCAGTGGACAAAAATTCACATCAGACATGTAAAAGTGTTGGCGATGATGTGGAGAAAGGCTCTCTTTATACCCGAACACCTTGGAAAGCAGTCTGTTATTTTTTGGTAAAGTTAAACATGCTCATATCCTAGAGACACGCTTGCATAGGTGAGCAAGGTGCTATGTGTCAGTGTTTTCACAGCAGCATTGCTTTAAAAATAGCAAAGCTGGAGAACATCAAAGTGGAGCCAGTGTCCATACACAGAAGGATGGTATTTGTGGTATAGTCATGAAATGGAATATTACTCAACAATGAAAATGAATTAGCCACAACTCTACACAGAGCATGGGTGTCTCTTACATACTGCTAAGGTGAGAAAGGAAGCTGTTAGAAAGCTCACCCTGTATTACTGTTCCATTTATGTAAAATTAAAATATAGGCAACACTGAAAAATAGATTGCTTTGGAACCCAAACCAATGAAGTAAAACGATAAAGAATAGTACATCCCAGTCAGTGGCTATTTCTTGGGGGTGGAGTGGGGTTCCTGGGGGCAGTACACTTGGAGCTACAGTTATCAGTATCTTAATCTGGGTCGGGGGGGGGGATTGTACACAGATGCATTAGGGTGTGGGCTGGCTTCGGTGCTGTGGCTCCCATGTAACAGTGCCAAGGTCAGGGGCCTTGAGTAGGTGAGGCAGCACTACAGCACCCACAGCTCACTGTTTTCTCTGTGCCTCCCATCCTTGCCATTTTGACAGAGTGTGAGATCAGGACAGAAGCTCGTTTAGAAAGATGTGGCCAGAAAGGTGCCACGTCTATGTGTGTGTGTCTCACTGCTCTTCTAGCCACATGGCAGCACTGGGCTGCAAGGGAGGCTGGGAAGTACGGTCTCTGGCCAGGTGAGCTTGTACTCAGTTGATATCTTGGAGTTTCTCAGTAGGGAAGAAGAGGGGCCAGTGCTGTGGTGGTGTGGGTTAAGCCACCTCCTGCAACCTTGGCATCCCAAATGCGTGCTGTTCTACTTCTGATCCAGCTCCCTGCTGATGTGCCTGGGAAAGCAGCTTGGGCCCCACATCCACGTGGGAGACCCGGAAGAATCTCCTGCCTCCTGGCCTCGCCCCGGCCATTGCAGCCATTTAGGGAATGGATCAGTGGATGGAAGATCTCTCTCTCTGTCTCTCCCTCTTTCTCTCTCTAACTCTGTCTTTCAAATAAATAAATGAATCATTTAAAAAAATTAGGGAAGAAGAGAGGAGATACTGCAGGGCAATTAGTGGCTCCATTGTAAGGAATGTTCATATTATAATTAGAGTCACATTATCTACATTGTATATATTCTTTCATACATATCACAGTAAAAATATTTTAAAGAAATTAAGGGCCAGCAGTATTGCAGAATAGTTATCTTAGGGAATTTGGAAAGAGAGAGGACTGGAGGAATGAAAGATTGATTAGAAGGAGGTTTTTTTTTTTTCTTTCAATTAGTTTCTCGATTTAAATTAGGAAATATCCATCTGAGGCAAGAGCAATTTGGGGAGCATTCTTCATTCTTATTTGGGAGACAGAGAAAGAGACAGACAGACAAAAAGAGCTCCCATCTGCTGGTCTATTCCCCAAATACCAGCAAGGCTGGGACTGGGCCAGGCTTCAGCTAGGAGCCGGGAACTCTATCCAGGTCTCCCATGTTATTGGCAGGGACCCATCATTGCTGCCTCCCAGGGTCCTATTGACAGGAAGCTGGCACTGGGACCTGGAGCTAGGAATCCAGTCCAGGCACTGAGATACGGGATGTGGGCATCTTACTTACCAGGCCAAATGCTAACGTTGGGCCAAATGCCCATGGGGAACAGTCTGATGAGAGAAAGGGAGCCAGGCTCCAGTCCTGGGAGATAAAAGGGATAGGAGGACGATTCCAGGGAGCAGGGAGAGCCTGGAGGAGGGGACTCCAGGGCAGGGGCACCATGGACCCTGGGGACTGCAAAGACGAGTACCTCGTGTGACTGTCACTAGTGTCGTCCCAGTGACCCCCCCTGCCAGCTCCTGTCGGGTAGGAGGCATCACCAGGTGCTTTCTGTTGTGTCCTCCTGATTCTCCCTCATTCCTAACCTGTGCTCAGTGCAGTTCTAAGAAAAGGTAAGCACGTCTTTATGATTGGGCTGAGTTTATTGCTGATACATTCATTGGAAATTTGATAGTCATTTGACCCCATCAATATGTGTAATTATTACGTGTCAGTTGAAAAGAAAAATAAAGAAATCTGATAGTTGAAGATTTAGGTTGTTTGATGTCATCTGAAAATTATTTTGTGTATAATTTGCCAATTTTCTTTTATAGATTTAAAGGTACAGTTGAAGAACTCAGTAATCAGATTTTATCTGCACGGAGTTGGTTGCAACAGGAACAAGAACGGATAGAAAAAGAGCTTTTACAGAAAATTGACCAGCTTTCCTTGGTCATTAAAGAAAACAGTGTAGGTATTGATATTTAACAATGTTTTCCAGTAGAAGCCTACAATGTTTGACTAACACCTAGTGACTTATCACTGATAGACTTGATGGCGAACTGAGCTGTTTGGTGGTTTCTTGCCTTAGAATAAGTTCTGATTTTTTATATCCTTTTTATAAAGAGATGGAGCATTTTGACTTGCTTTGGCTTATAAAGGCCAAGCAGTGAATTTCAGTACTTGCAGTTAAGATAAATTTAACTCGAGACTTTCATGATCCAAAGTGTCCATTTGCGTTTCTCAGAAACTGGCAGTAACCAGCTTCATCCCCATTTGCTGTAATTTCACGCTCTGGTTTTGCTTTCTCCCAGCGTTGAGTTGCTTTTTTCCCCCCAAGACCCTCCACTGCAGTGTAGCCACAGAGGGCGGTACTATTGCATGGTAACCTGCGAGCCAGAGCCGCCATTTTCTTCCCAGTCTTCCTCCCGCTTTCCCCCGTCACACAGAGCCTGGGTGTGCAGAACTGCTGGACAGCTGTATAAAGCGAGCCTTGCCCGTGTGGTATTCGGAGTCAGGCTCTGAAAGCGCCTGGCAGATTCTGGTTGGTCTTGGTGATGTGGCATGGCCAATTCCTTCCCCCTCCTGTTTTCTCACATCGCCGCCTCCTGGGGGACGACTTTGCTCTGTCCAGGTGCAGAGCTGCGCTGGCAGTTGTCAGGAGAGCTTTGTGGGGCTATAGCCCACCTACAGCCTGGTGTTTGTAGTCCTGGACTCCGAAGCTTGCCTGCAGACACAGATCCCATATAGAGCAGGCGTGATAGAAAGGAGAGGAAAGAATACAGTTAATGTTTCCTTTCAGTGGTATTTTCCCATATTTTCATCCAGTCTGCTGACTGCTTTACTTCGATTCCTACTAATCCACTTGTAGGCTTGTGGGTCTTTGGGTTACTCTTTGTTTTTAAATACAGTTGGCTTAATAGCTAATAGCAAACCCCAGGATAAAGGTGGGTTCAATAAGGTAGAAACTTATTTCTGTTTGGCAGGAAAGAAGTCTGGGGGTAGGCAATACAGGATGAATGTGATGTCTTTTCATCCCTCAGTGGCCCGGGATCCTCTTTTGTTGAACTTTTTGCCAATTCTAGAGAAAGACCCTCAACCTCATAACTCAAGGTGGCTGCTAGAGCACCAGCCACTGGGTCTGAATTTTTGAAACAAAAGGATGAAGGGAGAAGAAATCATACTTATCAGCTGTCTGCTCTTTCTGGAAGTTACCACATGCTTATACTTTGATCTCCTTGGCAAGAACTTAATCACATGGGCACAGCAAACTCTGGAGTCAGTGGAAGAACGTTCCTTATCCCGGATGACCTGGGACCCAGTGGAAAACTGGAGGGCTGTTAAGGAAGCATGGGTGTTGGGCTGGGCCACAGCGGCTGTTGTGACTGTTCCCCGCAGGTTGCTGTTAGACCATGTCGTGACTCCTGCACGCACGGCACGTGTTCCCTTCGGAGTAATTCTGTGCGGTTCTTTTCGTGGATCTCAGGGAGCCAGTGACAAGGACATGGAGAAGAAACTCAGCCAGATGTCGGCGCGCCTGGACAGAATAGAAGAGAGTCAGAAGAATGACACGGACGGGCAGAGGGCAAAGCAGGAGCAGGAGAGGGTGCATGGGCGCATCAGCAAGCTGGAGCTGCAGATGAGTGAGGACATGAAGGAGATGAAGGCGGAAGTGAATGCTGGTAGGCCCCAGACCAACCGCGCATGCGTCTGGATCCCGCTTGCTTCCCACCCTCTTGGCTGGTGTGCCCTTAGCATAGCCTGTGAGCCTGGCTGTGGTAACAGCGAGGTCTCCTTAACTGGATAGTCTCTCAGTAGCTGTGCTGTAGTGAACTCGCGTGTTTGAATTCAGGTATACGAAGGGCTACCTTGAAGGGCAGGCAAGCAAAGCTAAAATTTCTTAGCTCACCACTGCCGTGCATTTTCCTTGGTGCCATCTGACCATTTTTTTTTTTTTTAAGTTTTCACTAATTTAAAAAAAATGTGTTTGAGTGGCAGAGAGAGATACAGAGAGAGACAGACATAGAGGGGCTCTGAGGTGCTGGTTCACTTCTCAGATGCCCGCAATGAGCAGGACTGGGCTGGGGCCGCAGCCGGGAGCAGGGAACTCAGTTCGGGTCTTCCCATGGCCAGCAGGAATCCATTGACTGGAGCCATGACCACTGCCTCCCAGGGCCCAGCTTAGCAGGGAGCTGGAGCTGGGAATTGAACACAAGTGCTCCCACGTGCAACATGTGTTTCTTCACCCCTCGGCCAAACACCTGCTCTGGGACAGTTCTTTTCTATTTATGTCAAGGTCAGTATGTTTCAGAAACAAGCATGATCTTTGAGGGCTTATTTATCCTGCTGACTGTCTACTGTCCCAGCAGTAAACGATTCCCGACACCCCAGGCGTCAGCAGTATCATTCACGCACTTGCTTAGAGGAGCGTGGAAGGGCTGCCTTCCATCCTGAAGTGCGTGGGAACAGGAGCGGTTCTGTTTACACTCTGAGCTCAGGAGGCCAGAGCTGGCACCACAAAGGATTAGTCACCCAGAGACGCATTTTAACTCCCTGTGAGGCCAGAGCGTCTCACCGTCACTGGGTTCCGAAAGGCTGGTGTCTGCGAGCTCGAGAGCTCTTCGGTATTGAAAGTGTGCCGGTGGAGGCTGGCTGGCTGGCTGAGATCCGGGAGGACTCCTTGTCGGCTGGGAAGTGGGGCTAAGTTACCTCCCAGCTCCTCCTAACTCCATGACTCAGTTTGGGCCACCTGGAAATAAAAGTAGCTAGTTATCTCAAGAATGATTTTGCTGCTACTACTAAAAGTTGATTTTTTTTAAGTAGAAGCTACAATTAAACCTATGAATTGGAGGACTTATAAAAAAATGCATTTTCTTGGTTTTGGGGGGTTATTAGAAAATGGCATTTGACTATTTCATTGATGTTTAATTTTGCATCATTTCCTGAATGAATTTATTGTCAGCAATTCAGCATACTATTGAAATTGTTGATATTTAATTTCTAATAAGAAATGTAAATTTCTTTTTAAAATTGAAAGTATCTTTTATTACAAAGAACATACATTTGCTACTAGATCGTGCATCACAAAAAAATTTTAAAATTCTCATAACTTATCTCACCCAAAGGTAATTTTTGCATGTATCTTTCTCTACATGCAGGCTGTTTATGTCCTTTTTTAAAGAAAAGCTCACACCATGCTTGCTGACTTGTAACCTGTTGGGATTCTTTAAGTAACATGTGATATCTTTCCATGTCAGTAAAAACATTGTTTTCTGAGATTTTTTTTTTTTAAGTTTGAAAGGCAGAGAGAAAAATCTTCCACCTTCTGGCTCACTCCCCAAATATCTACAGTAGCCTGGCCTGGGGCAGGTGAAAATTAGGAGCCCAGAGCTCAGTCCAGGTCTCCCGCATGAGTGGCAGGAACCCAGGTACTTGAGCCATCACCTGCTGCCTCCCAGGGTGCACATTAGCAGGAAGCTGGATTGGAAGCAGAGCAGCTACTCAAACCCGGGCACTGCAATATGCCAGTGTTCCGCGTGCCTTCCTGACTGCTGTGCCGTGTGGCTGTCCTGAAACATCTTTAGTGAATAAAATCTATACTGTGGTTTCAGGGATTGTCATATAATGGAAATTTTCCGACAGAACTAATTTACTAATGAAGACAAGACTATCTTTAAACACTTAATTTAAAACCAACTGAAATCCAGAAACTATGAAATGTTAACTTTTTTTTTTTTTTTTTTAAATTGGGAAAGCAAGCGAGTGAGCTCCCATCTGCTGTTTTACTCTTCCAGTACTCACTGTGGCCAGGCCGGGAGCCAGGAACACAACCGAGGTCGCCCACATAGGTGGCAGGGACCCAACTACTTGAGCCGCCCTCTGCTGCCTCCTGTGGTTTGCGATAGCAGGGAGCTGGAGTCAGGAGCTGGCGTAGCGATTCAATCAGCTACTCTGAAACAGGAAGTGGATATTGCAATCTGCATCTTAACTGCAGGTCAAATGCCAGTCCCGGAAATGCTTTATTGATGGAGATTAAAAAAAAAAAACTTTTTATTTAAGATAATTTTTTAATTTAGAAAAGTAGTAAGAATAGTCCAATATATAATAATAGTCTATATACCCTATATACCAATATATCCCTATATACCAATAATAGTCTATATACCCTAGGTCCACCCAGTGGTTAGCATTGTGGAAATATGGTTAAATATCTTTCCACCACCAACCTTGGTAAAAAGCATTTTATTTTCTATATGTATTTGACATTTTTTGCTTTTCTCTTTTTTTTATTTTTTTTATTTTTTAAGCTTCCACTTATGAGATAATCCAGGGTTTTTCTTCCTATGCCTGGCTTGCTGCACTTGGCATAATGTCCTCTAGATTCATCCATGCTGTTATCAGTGCCAGGGTCGTCTTTTGTAAGGCTGAACATCTGATGTTATGTACAGGGAGTCCACATTTGTATGGGTGTGTGTTTACATCTCCATCATCCAGTGTTGGCCACTGGTTGTCTCCATATCTTGGCTGCTGTGAATAATGTTCTAGTGAACTTAGTAGTCCAGATATCTCCACAACATGGTGATTCCATTTCCTCTGGGCGTACACCCAGTGGGGGGATTGCTGGATCAGACACTAGTTCTATTTTTAATTTCTTTAGGACTGTCCATACTGGTTTCCAGTGGCTGCTCCTTGCCACAGTCCACCAAAAGTGTGGTTTCCTGTCCACATCTTCACCGACACATGTTCTTTCATGTCTTTTTGCCTGTGGCCATCCTAACGATGGGGAGCAGGGTGATAGCTCATCATGGTTGTGCTTTGTTTTTCCGTTATGATTAGTGATGCTGAGTGCTTCTGTAAGTACTCGCTGATCATTCATTCAGGTTCCAATCCAGATGCGTACAGCATCTTTAGCTATCATATGTTCTTATTCAGCATTGTAATTTGTATTGAGTGCCAAGTTCATTAGTGCTCTTGACTTCTTCTTTTTAAAGATTTATTTTTTTTATTTGAAAGGCAGATCTGCAGAGAGAGTGAGTGAGCGAGAGAAAGAGGTAGAGAGAGAGAGAGAGAGACAGAGACAGAGAGAGGAGGGATCTGCCAGCCCCTGGGTCACCTCCCAAATGGCCTCAATGGCCAGGGCTGGACCAGGATGAAGGCAGGAGCCTGAAACTCCATCTGGGTCTTCCATGTGGGTGGCAGGGACCCAAGAACTTGGGCCATCTTCTGTTGCTTTCCCAGGTGCATTAACAGGGAGCTGGATTGGAAGTGGAGCAGCTGGATCTTGAACTGGCACCCATATGAAATGCTGGCATCACAGGCTGCAGCTTAACCCAGTGTGCCACAACACTAGCCTCAACCTTGACTCTTTTTAATTTTTTTTTTTTTGAGGCTACAGTGATGTATTTTGTAGAATGTTTTCTCCGATGGGATTTGCTTGCTTCCTATTGACATAATTCAGGTTGCACCTTTTGGGCAGAAATGCCACAGGAGAGGTGTCGTGTCCTCCCAGGGTGTCTTATCAGCAGGTGTATGATACTGGCTGTAGTCACCCGGGTAAAGTGGTATCTGCTAGACTGCATCCGTGTAATAGCTCCTTTTTCTTCCTTGTAATTGAAAAGGATTCTGTAGGGAGATCCTGTGCAACTGTGGAGCTCTTGTTCCCCAACAAACATTTTATCCCAGGAGTTTTAGCATCTATTGAACATTTTTGCCAAAATTGACTATGCTATAGAGTTGGATATGGCATTGTTTTTTGAATATTAACGCTTGTGAAATTTACCTCTTCCCAAAGGGTTTACAGCCATCTATGAAAGCATAGGATCCCTCAGGCAAGTTCTCGAGGCCAAGATGAAGCTGGACAAGGACCAGCTCCAGAAGCAAATCCAACAGATGCAGAAGCCGGACGCTCCCATGTGAAGGAGCTGGGAGAAGGACCTAGAAGGAGGTCTTGCCAGGGGGGCTAGGAGCTAGATACCTCTGTAGCCAGGCTGTCGCTGCATTCAGGACTGTTCCATCCATGGCGTGCATGTGCCAAGAAATGTGTTCTCATGGGTCTCAATGTTGCCCTCTGGTCTCGAACGTGATCTCTCTTGAAAAATTCAGTATGTTTTCTGCCACTTTATTTCACTCCTCTCAATTCACTGGAACCCCCTCCCCCAATTCAACAAGGCTTTTGTCTCCTTCATTTTATGAATGGGAAGACTTCACCCTTTTCTTCAATGCTTGACTCTCCAGCCGAGACTATTTACTATTTTTTTAAAATGTCATGATGATGATTTTTCTAAAACTAACAAACTAACGAGTTGTCACAGGAATGTGCTGCTCTTTACCCTAAGTTAAGAGAATGTCCCCAATAGATTAGAATTCAACCTTTGAGTCCGTATTTCAATTTTACTATTGATGTCTGTGCATTTCTTACATTGATTATCTTCCTGTAAATCTTTTTGTCTTTTGTAAGGGGAAAAAAAAATCTATCATTTTCTTGGGGAAAAATATCATTTATATAGTTAAAATAGTTAAGAAATTGATAATTGCCATAAAGATTGCAAATTAAATGGAAATTTTAGACAGTTATCTAGATAAAGCAAGGCACAACATCATAGTAACCACCTCACTATATCAGGTTTTAATATTTAAAACTATTTTTGAATTATCCACAGCCTATAGTGATAGCCATATATTTAATAATGGGATGGTGGTTAGCAGTCTGTTAATTGCACAACTAATTGTTCATTAATCATAATAGAATGTAAGAACTTTTTGACTTTAATATCTCTCTAAATGTTTCCCAAATTGGCACAAAGTGCTAGGATTTATATACACTTGTTGTAACTGTATTCTTGTGCCTTGGTTTTATCATGTCAATGCACTGTACCCTCTAGAAGTTTTGCAGACAAAATAGAAGGCATGATAATGCATCAGAATCATGATGTAAAAATGGGATCCTATGTATTTTTTAAATGTTCTAAAAATTTTATCACTGCAAAGACACAAATCATTCAGTATTATTAATGGAATAGAAATTCCTACTTTTGTATGGGATCAAGAATCAAATTGATATTGCGTTTCTAACACTGTCAAATTTTCCTCTTGCACTGCTTTGTAGATGACAGATGTTTTATTTTCAGTCGCTGTCTCTGCCTAGGCTTGAAAATTGACATCAGATCTGTGTGTTCACCTGTGTTTGTCAAACCTGGTATTGAGGCACACCGCACTGAACTGTGAGTGCCCACGGACAAAGAATAGGCATATTTAAAAAGTTTTTAAAAGCCCTTTTTTTGTTTGTTTGCCAAGGACTCAGGAAAATAAAAGCATTTTCTATTTTGAGGATAAATCATAAATATCTAACTGGCGATTACTGTTTACCCACACAAAATATGCCGCGAAAGTGCATAATATTTTACTGTCCATGACTTGACAAATTTTCTCTTGGAATTGGGATCCACAAGGTTACATAAGGAGTATACTGTCCAACACATGTTTCCTCATTCCATCACAGAGCTTTTCATCTCTCTATAGTAAGACTATTTCCACTCACAAAGAGAAAAAGCTAACGCTCTTTGCTATCGAAAGTGAGTTTCTTTGTGTGATAGAGCAAACTGTGTTCCTGTCGTTCTCCATGTCTAAGCACAAGCACAGTGCAGTGTGCCACGCCCTCTGGCACCTCTCCCTGTGGGGTCTGTGAGGAGGAAGGGTCAGCACACCTGGAACCTGGGGCGAGGGGGACAGGGGACAGGGCCCGGCACCTGCTGGTGACGCTCAGGTGTTGGGTGACTTTTTCAGGTGCTTTGATGTTGCCAGGCCCCTGCCATGAGCCACCACCAAGGGTCTCCACCTGGCTACTCGTTGGATTCACCTCGGGGAGTTTGGAAAGCTATTGATGCTGAGCTGTGGGCAGACCAATTCAGTCAGAACACCGGCGAGGCAGGGCCAGGGCCGCCAGGTGGGTCAGCCAGCAGCCCAGGTGGCGAGCCGCTCAGGAGGGGCTCCACCGCGCTGCAGCACAGATCTCTTCTCACCAAAGCTTCAATGAGAATTAGCTTCCCTGTTCTTTCCTTTACCAGACATTTGCAATAAAATAAAAAGAATAAAATTTCCAACTCAATGTGGTGTATGGTTTTTAAATGAAAAAGTCGTTTAGTGTGAGGTGAAAATGTAATCAGGTAAAACCTCATAGGAAACACTTCTCTTGGGCATCTGTGGAAACCCTTTGGTGGTGAGATGATGCGTACTGAAGTCCCTTCAGGCGCTCTGGGGACTGGAGTCTCCCTGGGAGCTGCCCCACTATGCATTTCCGGGGTGGTGAGGCCAGTGGGCAGTTCCTGGGTATGTGCTGTGTGCCTGTGCCCTGCTGTGCCCTGTTCCTTGTGTGTGTTAACTCATTTCACTTTAAAAACAGCTTGTTAAGTACTGTTCATTTCCCTCATTTTATAGATGAGAAAATGGAGTCCTAAAGATTAGGTTGCTTGACCTGAAGGTTAAGCAGTTTGCCCCAAATTCTACAGCAAATACATGGGAGCCATGATTCAAAACAGGTGGCCTGTGTCCACAGCCTGGGTGGTTACCCAGGGCACTGCACTGCGGCTGAAGACATGTCATTCTTCCCACATAACTGACTTGCCTGGCCACCTGCTAGAGAGAGAGAGAGAGAGAGAGAGAGAAAAGAATGAATCTGCTTGTTCGTTCCCAAAAGGCCTAGGCAGTGTCCAAGGCTCTTAAGCCATCATCCGCTGCTTTCCCAGGCACATTACCAGGGAGCTGGATCTGAAATGGAGCAGCTGGGACTCAAACTAATATTCTAGATTTTGGATGCTGGCGTTGCACACAAAGGCTTAACCGGCCATACCACAATGCCAGCACCTGCATACCATGGTCTTTTTTTTTTTTTTTTTTTAATTTTATTTATGTCTTTGAAAGGCAGAGTTACAGAGAGACAGACAATCTTCCACCTGTTGGTTCACTCCCCAAATGGCCACAACAGCCAGGGCTGGGCCAGGCTGAAGCCAGGAACCTGGAGCTTCATCCAAGTCTCCCACATGAGTACAGGGGCCCAAACATTTGGACCATCCTCTGCTGCTTTCCCAGGCACATTAGCAGGGAGCTGGATCAGAAGTGGAGCAGCTGAGACTCAAACCAACGCCCATATAGCATGCTGGCATTGCAGGCAGCAGCTTAACCTGCTACACCACAGTGCTGGCCCCTCCTACCTTTGTCTTAATTTCCCAGGTCTAAATACCTAAAGAGGCAATCTTCCTAGCTTCACTTGGGTCAGACACCTTCCTCTGGTTGTATCTAAGGAGGCAGAAGAGGTAGGGTTAGTTGATGCCATAGTACTGTAGGGTCACAAATAGCTTTTGTCTTTAGTGCTTAGGCTGTCCTAGGCTGTGGACTCTGGGTCTGTCTGTTGGGAGATGGGTTGTATTGGGTAGGTAGAGAGCAGAATGGAAAATATAGTTTCATCCAAATTGTGATAATCCCACAAGGCTTTCAACATAAATCAGGGACCACTTATGATGCCCTGAAAACTCAATAGGAGCTACATAATGTGTTTCTGTCACTGCCTACTTCCAGCTGTGTAACCTGGGATGACTGAGTTTTCTCATCCGCAGAATGCAGATTATATTTATTTAAAAATATTTATTTATTTAAAAGTGTGAGGGAGAGAGAAGGATCTTCCATCCACTGGTTCACTCTCCAAGTGGCTGTAAGAGCCTGGGCTAGGGCCAGGTTGAAGCCAGGAGCCTGGAACTCCATCTGGGGTAGCAGGGGCCCATGTCCTTGGGCCATCTGCTGCTGCTCTGCTAGGTACATTATCAGGGAGCTGGATCAGATGTGGAACAGCCATGACTTGATCCAGTGCCCATATGGGGTGCTGGCGTCACAGGCCACAGTTTAATTGGCTGTGCCACATCCCTGGCCCCAGATTATAGCAATCCAAAAGGGCACTAATGTTCAAACTATTCCAGTAGTTAATGCAGAATTAGGCATCGCGTGGTGAATGCTGGGCTGTGGGAGGGGAGAGGTTGCTGGTGTGCCGCAGGAAGTGTATGAAGTCCACCTTCAGACCCAGAGCATTCTGTTGTCTGCTGGGAAGTAGGTCTAACCTCTGAACAAAGGGATGCCCCAGCCAGAGCCACGGGCCAGCTGTCGAGCCTGGTTGAATAGAAGCAGGAGCAGGACAGGGACCATCGCTGAACATGGGAAAGGACGAGGCAGGAGGCCCAGGCTCGTTAGCGCCAGAGCTGCAGCAGGCAGAGCATCCCCAGGCCTGCGGGGGGCCTGGAGGGAGCTGAGTCTGCTGGAAGGGGCAGCCCTGAGAGGGCAGAGAGGGTGGGAGCAGAGCTAGAGAGAACACGAACTCCAGAGCTGCAGAGGCCGGGGGTGCAGAGCTCCAAGAAGAGCTGAGAAATGACAGCCGGTGCAGGTTGTGCCATGGCCCTCACGGCCAGCAGGTGCTTGAAGTGGAATCTGGAGGGTCCTGTATAGGCTGGGGGACTGCACAGGAGTGTGCCTTGTGGGCCCACGACCATCAGCTCCCAGAGGAGGAAAAGCTGGCAGCTGCCTTCAGAGTCTCACTGAACACTTTTTTTTAAAAGTGGCAATTTTTTTAAAAGAACCCTTCTTTTTAAAAAAAAAAAAAGTTCTTATTTTCATTTTCTTTCAATGCCATAGAGAGAGAGAGAGAGAGAGAGTTTCCATCTGCTAGTTCACTCTCTAAATGCTTCTAACAGCCATGGGTGGGCCAGGCCAAAGCAAGACATGTGGAGCACAATCTGTTCTCCTGTTTGGGTGGCAGCAACACCATTTGAGCCACTGTCTGCCACCTCCTCCCAGGGTGCGCGTTAGCAGGAAGCTAGTTGGAGGCAGAGCCAGGACTTGAACTCGGGCACTTGGATGTGGGATACAGGTGTATTCATCCCTGCACCAGATTCCCACTCCCGAACAGTGGCATTAACTGTATGGAGTCCTACTTGTGAACATGTACGATCGATTTCTCATTCTGTTTTTATGGTCCCATTAATCTCAAGAAATTCATTTTGTGATGCACAAAAATCCCAGAGTCCAAGGGTCTTTCCAGGTATGCTTTTCGGTAGATGCCTGCCCTGCAGACCCCCCTGGCTGGATCCCTAAAATGGCAGTCTCTGAAGTGACTCCCCGTGGTCCCCACCACCTGGCAGTCATCCCCTCGTGGGACCCCCCCCCCACTTTGGGCATGTGCTGGACTTGCCTCTCATGAACACTGGCAGAAGCGTGGACTCATCACTTCTGAGACTAGGTTATAAGAAGACTGGCTGCCTTCTTGTTCTCTTTCTCCTCTCTTGCACTGGGGAAGCGAGCTGCCATGTTGTAAGCAGCCTATAGAGAGGCCATATGGCGTGGCAAAACACTGAGGCCCCCAGTTCAGTAGCTCAACGTGAACTGAGCCTTTTCCACAATCAAGGGCATGAGCTTGGATGTGGACCCTCCTACCCACAAGACATAAAGTGGGGACTCAAGCAGATATATGTATACACGTGCTCATGGCAGCCCCAGCCGCAGTAGGCAAAGGTCCACCCACTGATGAGTGGAGAAAAAAAGGTGGCACATACGTCCGAAGGATTACCATTCAGCCTTCCAAAGGAAGGAAATTCTGGCGCATGCTGGAACGAGGATGGGCCGTGAAGAGGGCGTGCTGAGTGAAGTCAGCCAGGGAGGAAAGGACAAATTCTGTAGGACTCGATTTATATGAGATGCTTAGAACAGTCAGATTTCTAGAGAGAGTGACAGAGAAACATGTTCTAGAGTAGAACATCATACCCACTCTGCACCTACTTGATATCTCTGAAATCTAGGGTTTCAAAGATACCAAGTCTCTAGGGGCTGGGGTGAGGCCAACTGGGGAGCTGGTATTTAGTGGATCCAGAGTGTCACTTAGGAAAAATGAAAGGGTTCTGGAGGGATGGAGGTGAGAGTTGCCTAGCACTGTGAATGTGCTGACGGCCACTTAAAAATAGTGGAGATGGCAGACTTGATGGATGCCTTACCCTCCGAACAGGAAGTGGCCCTCCCCGCCATGGCTCCTGGTTGAATCTTCTTCTTCTTTTTTTATTTGACAGGCGGAGTTAGACAGTGAGAGAGACAGACAGAGAGAAAGGTCTTTCTTCTGTTGGTTCACTCCCCAAATGGCCACCACGGCTGGCGCTGCACCGATCCAAAGCCAGGAGCCGGGTACTTCCTCCTGGTCTCCCACTTGGGTACAGGGACCCAAGCACTTGGGCCATCCTCCACTGCCTTCCCCAGTCACAGCAGAGAGCTGGACTGGAAGAGGAGCAACCGGGACTGGAACCCGGCGCCCATATGGGATGCTGGTGCCGCAGGCAGAGGATTAACCAAGTGAGCCACAGCACCGGCCCCTGGTTGAATCTTCTGATGAGGCTGCGGCCCCAGAAGCTTCATTACTGCCTCCTGAGAGGCGCTGAGCCTGAGGCCTCCAGCGAAGCCGTGCCGATTACTGACTCACAGAACTAATGCCCATTTGTTGCTTTAACTTGCTAGCTTTTAGGGTAATATGTTCTACACGGTGATAGCTAACTGGCACTGGAGAACCCTGGCAGGTTATGTTGCAAAGTGGTCATTTGTGGGCATGCCACAGGTGACAGGGTCACTATATAGAATCTCCTTTCACAGGAGCAGGAAATAGCCATGAAGAAACATACCAAATGGCATAAATATCACATTTAATATCTGCAGTTACTCTATTTGGTATGTTATGTAACACTTTTCCATGTTGTGAATAGATCAGAGAGAACTTAAAGAACCATTCAAGGCCATCCCGTGAATTCGTGGAGGAGCAGGGATTGAAACCCAATCTGTCTCCAAAGCTGGGGCTGCCATCTTGCTTTGAGATAAGAGAGCGAATGCCCGAGACTTAAAGCGATTGTCTGGGATCCTGCAGCTCTTTGGATTGCAAGGCTCTCTGGATCCCTGCTTCTTCAAGTGCGGTCAGCACAGCATGGGCTTCGCCCAGGGAACTTGTTAGAAACGCAGGTTCCCCGCCCCTCCTGCCTCCTGAATCCCAAGCCCCGACGTTGGGCTCAGCAGTCTGTTGCAACAAGTCCTGCAGCTCGTTCTCGTGCAGGCTAAAACTGGGGCATTGCTCATCTGTGCTGCACCATCTAATGCAGTAGCCAATGCGCACATGTGGCCTTTTGTTTTTTCACAGGCCAGAGGTCTTTTATTTATCTGTTTTAGGTTTATTTATTATATTCTTATGTATCTGGAAGGCAGAGCAACACACACACACACACATACGAGAGAGAGAGAGAGAGAGAGAGAGAGAGAGAGAGAGAGAGAGATAGGGAAAGAGAATGAATTACCTTCTAACTGCTGGTTTGCTTTCCAAATGCCCGTAACAGTGAGTGGTAGCCTAGGCTGAAACCAGGAGCCAGCTCTCCACATAAATTCTGATCTAGCTTCCTACTAACGCACACCCTGGGAGGCAGCAGGTGGTGGCTTAAGCACTTGGGTCCCTGCCAGGCTTGTGGAGAGAGAGAGCAGGAGGGAGAGAGAGAGAGGGAGAGAGAGAGAGAGGGAGAGAAATTACCTTCTAACTGCTTGCTTTCCAAATGCCTACAAGAGTGAGAGCTAGACCAGGCTGAAAACGAGGAGCCAGGAACTCTATCCAGCTCTCCACATGGGTGGCAGGGACCCAAGTACTCAAGACACCACCTGCTGCTTCCCAGGGTGTGCACTGGTAGGAAGCTGGATCCGAGTTGGAGGTAAGGCTCAAACCCAGGCTCTCTAATATGGGATGCAGGTGTCCTAGGCGCAGCTGACCTCATGCCCCACGATGCCTGCTCCCTCTTTTGTTTATTTTTGGACACCTATTATGCCAGAGTTCTTAGGGAATAGTCTCCAGCAGCCTGGATTCCTTCCCATCAGCTCTCACGTAGCGCGCTTCTCGGGGCAGAGCAGGCCAGCGCTGCAGGTGGGTCCGGGTACCTTTCTCTTTGGCTGGCTTCTCTTTCTGATCATCTTCCTTCCCATGCTTCGGGAAGCAGTTTTGGCTCTTAGGGTACTTAATAGGCTGTACTCTCACATCAGTTCTCTTGGCAGGGATTTCCCCCTTCGTTTGTTTACAGCAATGCCAACAGCATGCTGGGCAGCACTGTCGACTCTTCCAGCTTTGCCATGGTGACATGCCTGGGGCATTCCTTTTGGGAGAATGCCGGTTCCCATGATGGGTCTGCAAGCAGACAGCCAAATGATCCCCTGTGTGTTTCTTAGAAGGCCAGAGAACACGCATCAGCTCCCTCTACTTTTTCCTTTCTTGTTCCTCATCTTGGCAAAATACTGGAAGATGGTAGTTCCAGCCCAAAGGAAACATGGCTATTAACATTGAGATATAAATGGAACAGAAGAAATAAATTTTAGGGATAGGCATTGTGGCATAGCATGTAAAGCCGCTGCCTGCAACTTCAACATTCCATATGGGCGTGGGTTCGAGTCCTGGCTGCTCCACTTCTGATCCAGCCCCCTGCTAATGCTACTGGGAGAACAATGGAAGATGACCCATGTGTTTGGGCTCCTGCCACCTACGTGGGAGACCTGGATGAAGCTCCTGGCTTCTGGCCCAGTTCTGGCCATTGCAGCCATCTGGGGAGTGAGCCAGTGGATGGAGATTCTCTCTCTTGTCTTCTCTCTCTCTCTTTCAAAATAAATAAATCATTTTTATAAAAAAAAAAGAGAAAGAAAATTTGAAATTCAGTTCCTGAGTTGCACAGGTGCTCAGTAGCCACACATGGGTAGTGACTTTAGGATTGTCCTGTGCAAATGTGCAACATTTCTGTGGTCATAGAAAGCTCTGCTGGGGAGCAGACATCTGGCGTAGTGGTTAGGCTGCTGGTGAGACACTCGCATCCCACATGGAGTGCCTGGATTCAAGGCCCAGTTCTCTTCTGCCAGCCAGCTTCCTGCTCCCGTGCACTCTGGGAGGCTCAGGGCCCTGGGTTGAGTTCCCTGCTCCTGGCCACGCTGGCTGTTGCAGGCATCTGGGGAATGGGCCTGTGGATGGGAGCTCTGTCTGGCTGTCTGTCTGTCTCTGTCTTTCTGCCTCTCAAATAAAATAAAATAAATAAAATCCTGTTGGGCAATCCTGGTCTAGAGCATTCACTTCCTCACCTTTTGATTCCCAGCCCTGCCCGCAACTCTGCATCTTCTTCTGTGAGCCTAAAATGAGCCTTGGACCCGGGGCTTCCTTCCAGCTTTGTCCCTACAATGTGGTGTTAGTGTCCCGCTTACAGGTACTTTCCCAGGTCTGTATTTATAAAATGTTATCCCCAAGCAAGGTGAATAAGCTGTAGCGACCCGCTGTACAACGATCCTGTATTGTACACTTCCGATTTGTTATGAGTGTAGATCTCGTGCTATGCGTTCTTACCACAATAAAATACAATTGAAAAAAGATTTTTTTTTATCGCATCTGTCAGTTCTGATCAGCAGATAGAAGTGCCTGCAAGATTGGACTGAGAAGGTGCCAGACTCAGAGGACAGAGCCAAGGCATGTCAGCCATGGGGGGGGGGGGGGCAGAGGCAGCGGTCCGTGTGCTGTGTGTGTCTACAGGTTTGTCCCAGCACAGTCTAGGTGAGCAGGAGGCCTGGCTAAGGGTTGTTGGCCAGGGGCCTGGAGTGATCCTGAGGCTCCCTAGTGAGAGGGACCTGGTGGGCCTGGGATGAAGGTGAGGCAAAGAGAGGCACTCACCTTGGGAAACGTAGAGGACCCTCAAAACTCTGCCATTAAGATTTTATACAATAGGCCGGCGCCGTGGCTCAATAGGCTAATCCTCCACCGTGCGGCGCCGGCACACCGGGTTCTAGTCCCGGTTGGGGCGCCGGATTCTGTCCCGGTTGCCCCTCTTCCAGGCCAGCTCTCTGCTATGGCCAGGGAGTGCAGTGGAGGATGGCCCAGGTGCTTGGGCCCTGCACCCCATGGGAGACCAGGAAAAAGCACCTGGCTCCTGGCTCCTGCCAGGATCAGCGCGGTGCGCCGGCTGCAGCGGCGGCCATTGGAGGGTGAACCAGCGGCAAAGGAAGACCTTTCTCTCTGTCTCTCTCTCTCACTGTCCACTCTGCCTGTCAAAAAAAAAAAAAAAAAAAAAAAAAAAAGATTTTATACAATAATTGAAATCGTTTTATTCAGTTTTATTTGAAAGGGAGACAGAAAAATACAAAGACTGAGATCTTCCATCCATTGGTTCACTCCCCAGATCCCCACAACAGCCAGAGCTGGGCCAGGGTGAAGCCAGAATCCAGGAACTCCATCCAGATCTCCTACACGAGTAGCAGGGACCCAAGTTCTTGAGCTGTTATCAGCTGCTTCCCGGGGTGCACGTTAACAGGAAGCTGGAATCAGAAGCAAAGCCTGGACTCATCCGGTCTGGGGTGCAGGCACCCCAAGCCCATCCTTAACTGTTGTACCAAATGCTTGCCCTTATTTTATGTAATACTTTTAAAGATCAAAATAATACCCAAAAAAGCATGAGGCAAGGGGTATTTGGTATAGACATTAAGATGATGCTTTAGACACCTGATATATCAGAGTGCCTGGGTTCAAGTCTCTACTCTGCTTCTGTTCCAGCTTCCTGCTAATGTGCACCCTGGGAGGCAGCTGATGAAGGCCTAAGGACTTGGGTCCCTGCCATTCATGTGGGAGACTTGTATGGAATTCCTGGCTCCTGGCTTCAACCTAGCCCAGCCCCAGTTGTTGTGAACATTCTGGGAGTGAACCAGTGAATGGAAGATCTCTGTCTGTTCTGTGTCTGTGCTTTTCAAATAAAAATAAATTTAAAAAATTAATGGCAGGCACTGTGGTGCAGCAGGTTAGGCCACTGCTTGGGACAACCCCATCCCGTATCAGAGTGCTGATCTGAGCCCTTGCTGTTTTGCTTCTAATCCGGTTTCCTGGTCATGCATCCCAGAAGGCCCCTCCTACCCATGCGGGAGATGCAAATTGAATTCCCAACTCCTGGTTTTGGCCCGACTCAGCCCCAGCTGTTGTGGGCATTTGGGGTAGTGAATCAGTGAATGGATGGAAAATCAATCGATCTCTCTCTCTCTCTCTCTCTCCCTCTCCTCCTTCAAATAGATGGAAATAAACAGTTTTTACAAATTTAAAAAATTGTACGATGAACCAAATGTCAAATCCTGAGCACCAGATCTGTGTGTGTTGTGTTGGTTTAGAGCCATTTTGGAATTAAGGCAAAAGAAATAATGCATGTCCCTCCATCCATGTTTTATGCTCTTATGTAAAAATTGGACATTTTCTTTACTAGTTTTGGGAGGAGTGATTTTGATTTTTGACAATATTACCTGAAACATTGACGTTGGTGACAGAGGTGTTTGGCGGCTCCCTCCTTATGTTTCACATTTGGGTGACTGCCTTACTGGCCTTGTCCTAATTCCAGCCCTGCCCACATGCGTAGACACGTGGAGCTCAATTCCGAGCTCAGCTATTGTAACAAGCTTATCTTGGGAGTATCTGATTGCCTTGGTTGGTCTCTGGGCTTGTTAATCTCTAACCGCCATACTGCGTTTAATTTTCACGCTTGTGATTCAGTTCTTTTTGGAACCAAGTTGGGCCACAAATAGAGCCCAAACAGCAGACTCCTCTCTGAGATGTGGAGGAAGAGAGGGAGGAGAGGATGCCTGTGAGTTTCCTCCCCGTGCTTGGGCGCTGGGCATGTGTGGCAAGTTCCCTGGTGCCACAAGAGCCTGCTGGAATCCAGTGGCCTTTGCTGCCCCCATCTGGAGGGAGCGGAAACTTCCAGGCACCTGTGTCAACAGGGAGTTGTAGCACCAGAGTGGCTCCCTGGGCTCCATTCTCATTGCCTACAGCAGGAAACCGAATCCCAAAGAGATCGGCAGTGGGCTTCGCAGGGGCGTATGCGCCATCTTACGAGAAACAGGCTGTCATGACAGTAGTGACAGCCCAACTTGTGAACAAGTGGACAAAATCTCTGCCTTTGTGAAGTTTTAATTCTAGCAAATGGTGGGAGGCCGGAGGGTAGCTACACAAGTAAGCTACCCAGAGTGATGGGCGAGAGTAAGAGCTCTGGGGACAGGAGTGGGGGTGTTCCAGGAGAGGAGGATGGCCAGGGGAGCTCTACTGAGCAGGTGGCTTGTGAGCAAGGCCTGGATGGAGGTGATGGGGCGGAGGTGACCTCCACAGAGCCCTGTGTCCCCCAAGAGCAAGCTGGGTCCAGTGTCCATGCTCCTAGTTATGCCCCTCACCATACCACCATACCCCTCCTGCTTCCCAAGTCATTACTGTATTCATTCATTCATTCATTCATTAGAAAGGGAAGGATGAAGGGAGAGAGAAAGAGAGGGAGAGAGAGATAGAGAGATCTTCCACCTACTGGTTCACCCCCTAAATTCCTGAAACAACTGAGGCAGGGCCAGGCCAAAGCCAGAATCCTGGAACTCATTGAGGGTCTCTCACATGGGTGGCAGGGACTTAAGTATTTGAGCCATCAACTGACGCCTCCCAGGGTGTGCATTAACAGGAAGCTGGAATGGGAAGCAGAACTGGGACTCAAACCCAGGCACTCCTATAGGGGCCGGGGGCATCCTAAGCAGTGTCTTAACTGCTGAGCCAAATGGCCACGCCTTCAGTGTGTGAGTGTTTTAAGGATTTATTTATTTATTTGAAAGAGTTAGAGAGAGAGAGGGAGAGACAGAGGGATCTTCCATCCACTGGTTCACTCCCCAAACGGCTGCAACAGCCAGGACTGGGCCAGGCTGAAGCCAGGAGCCAGGAGCTTCATCCAGGTCTCCTACATGGGTGCAGGGGCCCAAGCACTTGGGCCATCTTCTGCTGCTTTCCAAGGCACATTAGCAGGGAGCTGGATCAGAAGTAGAGCAGCCAGGACTCGAACACGTGTCCATATGGGATGCTGGCAGACTGAGGCTTAACATTCGACACCTCAATGCCACCCCCTGCACCCCACCAGTTCTCTTTTGCTTTCTCCTCTTGTTTGGGGTGGTTTCTTAGTCTGCACTACTAAGACTGGGTAATTTGTGAGCAGTAGAAATGCATTTTGCATGGTTCTGGAAGCTGGGCAGTTCAAGATCAAAGTAGATGGACAGGCTCTGAATCTGGTGAGGGCTGGTTCTGTCTGCTTCTGAGCCGGCACCTTGCTGCTATGTCCTCACCTGGTAGAAAGGGAGAGGGACCGGGGGGCCTGGCTACCTCCCTCCAGCCTAGAACCAGGGCGCCGACATCATTCACAGAGGCAGGAGCCCTTGTGACCGACTCCGCTCCCAGGGGCCCAGCCTGGGCGCTCCATCCCGGTGGGGGTTGAGTTCTGAGTTGTGAATGGCGGGGGAGCAGGTGCATCCAGGTTTCGAGGATGTCTTCTGGGGGTGATGGCCCTCTGCCAGGCCCAGGACTGCTCCTTCTGCAGCCTCTTTGATCTGCAGAAACTGGGTCTGATTTGGGGGTTTTCCAGCCTGTTAGCCGCAGACCCCACTGGGCCTCCTTATAACTCTCCTTAGAAGTTAAGTGGAACAGCAGGCATTCTCTCTATCTATTCACCTTTGCCATAAATGTATCAAATATTTTACAATGTGCTGGACGCTGATAAGTGTTGGGTTGGGATAAGTCCTCATGCAGCTGCTTATCTAGGGAGAGACACGGGCCCACAGAGATAAGCTCTTTCTCACTGTCATAAAAGAAATGTGCTGA